TATTTGAGATAATTTAGGCGTGGCACTAATAGGCAATAAAATGAGAGTGTAGACTTAGGTGGGCTGGCCATGTGTGGCGTCGACCAAGTACAACACCTGTTAGGAGATGCGAATTAGTTCAAGTGGAAGGACTGAAAAGAGCAAGGGGTAGGCCTCAAAATGAAGTGGTTAAAAGTAGTCCGAAAAGATATGGGGACTTATGGCCTTTAATAGAGCAGATTGCAGGACTAGGATTCATATAGCCGACCCCAATTAATTGGGACAAGGCTAAAATGATGATGATATATTCATGGTCACATATCTCTAATATATCTTGATGTGTGCCTATTGTACTTTGTACCATAAAAAGTGAAGAATTTGTGTGCATGTGTGTGTGTTTGTGTTTGTGGTGTTTGGGAAGAAGGGGGTGAGTTGGTTAGGGCTAGGTGAATTTAGGCGAGGCAGGGCCTTGTCAAAGTCCCTTCTGCTTCTAATAACATAGGTGCAAACTGCAAAGTGCTTCCTTTCTCATTCATTCCACCACTTGAACTTCAGCCCTAGCAAGTTCACTTCCAGACCTGTTTTTGAATCAAGGAACCCTTGTGGAACGGCTTTACTCACCAATAACAAAAGACAAAAGGCCAATTTTCTCATTAAAATCCTTTTGTATTCCCTTTTCGTAGAACATCTATCATGGGTTGGGTCATCTTAGAGACAATCAAGCTTCTGAACTCACAGACTAGCGAGTGTAATGTACTCTTGCATTGCCACCAAATAATCCTTTTCTGCTGCAAACACTACAATATAGCAAAAAGGCTATCACACCAAAGGAAATCCCATTTCCTAATGGAGCATGCTTCTAGCACCATTCCCAAATAATGTGAAATATATATTTCCATCCCCAAATGATATGAAATAGATATTAACGTCAGTTGGAAACATGAATAGACAAGAAGTATATACTTCTTAGGAGTATGGCCATTGCAAAGTTTATGAATAATGATTCTTCAGTGCTCAACTTAAGATTTTGTGAACAGGCGAACCACAAGACCTAACCCCTGTTATTAAATATCCTGCTCCACCTTCTTCTGTTAACAATGTGAGAAACTAAGGCACAGCTGTTCTAACCAAAGGAAATCCCATTTCCTAACAGAGCATGCTTGTAGCACCATTCCCAAATGATATGAAATATATATTTCTATCCCCAAATGATATGAAATATATATTGACATTGGTTAAAAACATGAATACACAAGAAGTAAACAGGCGAACCACAAGGCCTAGCCCGCCTGCTATTACTGCTCCACCTGCTTCTGTTCACAACATGAGAAACTGAGGCACAGCTATTCTACAGGGAATATGAACATCCCAAAATCCATCTCTCTCTCTCTCTCTCTATTTTGTGTTGAACATACAAACTGTTTACCTACTCGCTTCAAAACTGAATAACCTGTTTGACTGGGCACACTCGTCTAGAAGCTTCATTTTGCTTAGTGTGGCTTGTCTGCTTCCCTAGTTTGTGTCCTTTTATGTTGGGCTCTATTCAATAGTTTTAAGGGTTGTTGCACAGAATGGCTTCAGTTAGTTACCATGCATAATCATTCAATTACTTGTTTCTATCTCTTGTTGATGATGTTTCATATGTTCTTAAGTATGCTTTTGTAATGATAGGTACGTCTAATCCAATTTGTTATTGATAATTTGATAATATTGATAAGTTCAACAAAACTAGTGTTGGGACTTGAAACTTAAAGTTGGTTAATTAGTATGGTGTTTTTGTCATTGATTTTGATGCATATAGTGATTTGCATGTCTCATGCTCCACTTGTTGGCAGAGCATTGCCTCGCCTAGATAGATTTCCTGATCTGCATATTCTGATATCTATAATGTTCCTTCCCCAACGAGTTATTGTTTTGCTAGCCAATGTTTAAATTTGAGATTCTTAACTTTTGGTGAATTGATGATTGTACCACTTCTTTCTGATATGGCTTCTAATACCTTAGTGTGGTCTTAATTGGACATAAAAAGGCCTAAGAGGATATACTTAGCTTTCTGTAGTCTTCCATGACTTGACTTCTACCAGAGGAATATTTGTGCTTGGACCTTTTAGAAAGTAGATTAGTTTGTGATTTACATTTGGTGTTCGTATATTCTCTGCCCATATAGAAAATTTGCAACCACGTAACTTTTTGCTGAATCTTCTCTTCAATAGTGAGAGAATGGACAGTTGAAGGTTTCTGTTTTTACCCCTTCCGTTTTACTTGCATGAAGTTCAAAAGACCACTTTGAAGGTTAAATCGACTCGCGCAATTCAACTTGATTCAACCCATATGCAAGTTTCCAGAAACCTCCGACCTTTTCAGCTTTTGCATCCCCACCGCTTTTACTCTCCCTGCATGAAACCCCCTCCATACCGAGGGGAGTCGGCTCTATTTTGGAGAAAAATGCCCTTTTCTCTAGGGGAGTTACAAAAAAAAAAAAACTCTTTCTCTCTTCTTAATTACTCTGGGGCATGAGTTCTATTGAGAGAAGTTGATGGTTTCTGAAAGTGGCAGGTTCACGAGTAGAGTAATAGTGAGAGAAAGTGGCAGCTTTTGGAGCAGGTGTTGTAGCAAGAGAAAGTGGCTCTGGTTTATGAACAGAGTTTTAATGAGAGAAAGTGGAGGTTTTACGAGAAAAATGTGAACAAACTATTTCTGGAGAAATGGGCATTTTTGTTCGAAATAGAGGTGAGACACACCCTCATCCTCCCCCCTTTCCCACTTTTCCCCTCTTCCCTCTAACCCCCACCAAAAAAAAAAAAGGAAATCGTCGCATCCAACAACTGTATGGTGGGGCTTCCATTTGTAGGGTTCTAAGGTTTGGGATTTTCACAGCAGTTTTTTTTTTTTCGGTTTGGGGGGTGCGGTTGCATAAATTTTCCCTTTTTTTGGAGAATCAAAGAAAACTTATTGTTGTTACATTAACACCTTCTCAAATAGAAAATCTATTGTTCATTGAATGCATCTTACTTGTTTCGTACGTTCTTAGGTTTGACTCTTATTGTCCTACTTGGTGCTCTCTCAATCAAGTCCGTTCTCTCTCTCTCTCTATCTTCATTCTCTTTTTATGCAACTTTCTTCTCTGTACATTTGTCCATCAAGCTCAGGCTCTCTCTGTCTCTCTCTCCACTGTATTCTGATTTATCTTCTCCAAAGAATGAGGTTTGTAAGTTAACATTTCTTCAAAAAAAAAAGAAAAAAAGAAAAAAAGAATGAGGTTTGTACGAGGTTTGTATGAGGTTTACTTCTTAGAATACGACTGTGTAGGATTTAGCGAAATCTTAAAAGTTCAATATGGGGTCAGGATTTGTATACTGAGTGGAAGCGTTATTTACTTAAGAGGTAGAGATGCAAAACTTTTCCTTGTTGAAGAAGCTCCTATTGGAGCCACAATTTATTTTCTCTACATTTGGTTCATGTTCCTTGGAGTCTCTGTTAAATGTGCATCTATATAATCGGTTGCTTGAGAGTGGAGACGAAAGGTCAGTTGGCAATTCATTGTGCACCTCTGTATGATTGGCTTCACCATTTAACAATAATGTTGCTTTTTAGTCATCTCCACAATATTATTTCTGTACTAGTCTCGTTCATTTTCTTCTTATTTTGTTACTATATAAGTTCTGCGGCATTTTAAATGTCTCCCAATAATGGATGATTGGCCCTTTAATCTTTAGACATTTTCCTTTAGGTATGCCATCCGTTTACTGTCCTCTGACTGTTGTTCCTTTTCATGCAGGCTGTTGCCACTGAGAAACCAGTGGCTACAGTGGATGCAGTATCTGACATTGTGAAGGATTCGCCACACAAGGTAATGACACGTCTAATATTGAATACAAAATGAGGAAAAATATATATTGACTGGAATATAATATTGGGCGGTTTTGGTGATCAACCGGTATTTTAAAAAAAAATTAAAAAAATATATAAATTCCCAAAAATAAGGAATTTGATTTGTTATGCATTGTTTAATATTCTTTACATTATGGTAAAGATTAAAAATTGTTTTGGTCATTAATACTCACCTTTATAGTTTCTCATCTTTTTCAAAACATTTTAAAAATACCCCTAGGCACAAATTGATTTGTTAAATTTCATTTCTTTTCATTAATTTTCAACTTTATTTGAATGTGTTTTGTTTAATCTTTATGTGCTTTTCATATGTTGGTAGATTTTTTTTTTTGTATTTTTTTTTTTTTTTAAACACTTTTTTGACCGCCCGGGACTTACCTGGTTAGAGCGGTTGAATCGGCAGTTTACCGGTTAGACCGGCTAAGCCGCTTCCGGGCCCATGTCCTCGTTGTGAAATTACTATGGTAACCCTGATCTTTTTATTAAATGATGAAAAACATGTTTGCTTAGATGGAGAACGAATATGTGTTAATGAATTGATAAAATCATGATCTTCGCTGGTATTGTTTCTTCCAGATTTTCATTGGGGGCATTCCAAAATCTCTTTCATCTGATAAGGTATGGAGATGTTCTGGTTCAAGGAAATGTCCCTTCATTGTATAGATGTTAACACTAACCTGTTTAGGCTCTAAATCATACTAAATGTTTTACTTTTTTACTGGTAGTGTTTTGAAGAACCGTAATGCTTCATCAAATACTTTGAATTTTTTTTTTTTTGCACACCCACACCCATTCTTGGGTCATCTCTAAACTACAATGTTGTTATGATCGCCTTTGTGGCCTTATGTTTTACAGCTTCAGGAGATTGTCAGTGTATTTGGACATTTAAAGGCCTATCATTTTGAAGTTAACCGGGAGAGTGGCGGTTCTTGTGCATTTCTAGAGGTATAGAAAGCCATGAATGTTCTTTCTTTGATCTTCCATTGTGCATGGCTATCTTTTGGTGCAAGCATAAGTGCCAACACTTGGATATTTGGGGTGCATTCTATTTGTCGGTAACTTTGGTATATTGAGTCTTTTATTATGAGATTATATCTGAAATTAGACTAATTCAATTTGTTGTTTTCTAGGATTTTCTTCCAAATTGATTGAACTTGAGCAATTTCTGCAGAAATTAGGTGGAAAATTTTGCCAAACCTGGGCCAAATTGATGTAATGGTTTTCAGTCCTAGTTAGAACCTTTCAGGATAAAGGATAATCCTTTATGAAACTTGAACTTCCAAAGATTCTTTGAAACTTGGCTGAAACTAAACTGTTACTTCTGACCATTCATGCTTTATCTCTCATAAGCAACTGTTTCATTTCTTTCTTACCAATCACTAAACTGTTTCATTTCTTTATTTGTTTCAGTACACAGATCACTTCATTACCCTTAAAGCACCTGTTTCATTCTTTGTTATCAATTAAAAAAACTGTTTGATTTCTTTATTTTTTGCAGTACACTGATCAGTCCATTACCCTTAAAGCATGCGCTGGGCTGAATGGCATGAAATTGGGAGGGTGTGTATTAACTGTGGTCCAGGCCTTTCCTGATGTCTCTGCAGAGGTACTCCCGAGGGTTACATGATTCATTGTCCAATTGGCTATCAAAAACTATTGTCCATTAAACTCATCACTGTCCAATGATAAAATACTCGGTGATGGAGGGAGAATAGGATCAGTAGAGCAGCAGATGACCCCAATGATGGGTCTCACTTTGTCACTTCTGTTTTATTGGGCATTGATTACCTCATGGACAATGATTTTGCATATTCATATTCCTTAGGACTGAAATATATTTTCCCCTTGATTATAATGTGTTAGGATTCAAGGAGAAACTGATAGTAAAGTTCTGGAAAGAAGGAAAATTTTGCTTGTATTACATAATGAGATCCTTCCACACCCATGCGTGTAGGACCCAAAAGGAGCACCATTAAATTTGGCACAGATCTCTAGAAAAGTTATCACATGGGTGTGGGATTTGACTTTTTTAGAGATCTGTGCTAAATTTAATGGTGATCCTTTGAGGTCCTACACACATGGGTGTGGGAGGGTCTCATAGGATCATTACTCATTACAAAATTGCTATCTTCTGTAGGGTTTTTTCTTCCCTTCGTTTTAAGGCAGTATTTTAAAACTATACTTAAATGGATGCTTTTCTTCAGGAAATTTCAAAAGGCCCTCCTTCCTATGGGATACCTCAGCATGCAAAGCCACTACTGAAGGAACCCACACAGATCCTGAAGTTGAAGAATGTGGTATGTTTTTGCAAAAAAAGAAAAAGAGAAAGAATTTACGGGGAAAAAAATTACAAAAAATAAAATAAGAAATATTTGCCTTAGAAAGAGAAAATTACAATTATTTTGTCTGAGCACCTTGCCTACTGCAAATTCTACTATTCCTTTTATTTGGTTTGCAACTGTGGTTTTGTGTTTTGGGGTGGTCAGTTGTTTTGCAGTATCTACTGTAACTGTAAGTAGAGGCTGCTACCTATTAGATCATGGTTTTCCCCCCGCCCCTCTACCCCAGTCCTCTCTCTCTGATCATGGGTTATTGGCATCTCTCTCTCTCTCTCTCTAGCTGATCATGAATCTCTCCCACCCCCGCTGTTCTGCCCCCACATCAGTGTGTAGGGTTTTTAGGGCTGCTGCTGAGAGGCAGCTACCGATCCAATAGGTGTTACCATATATTGTGCTCTTTTTGTGTCTCCCTTGCAAAAGTGGAGTATGGTTCATGGGCTTCGACTAGTTTTAAAACTTGGGCTCGAGTCAACTTGCCTCTGTACCATGGTGAGTCCTGTGCCAATACCATGGGACTCGACCGAGTTTTTACAGTTTCTAACCCCTGTAGTGCTTTTCATGGCTGGATCAGGATGGGACTTGCTGCGTTTGTCAAGTCCTGACCTGGGTCACTGCTTTAAAACACTGGTTTCGACATTTGAAAGACAAAGGAAACGATAAAGAGAGAGAGAGTATGTGTAGGGTGTTTATTAAAAATAGGTTTTATAAATTAGAGAGTAGGATTTGCAAGTTACTGCATCTTAATAACAATGGCATAACTATCTTTCCTTGAAGAGTAGTGCATGATATTCTTTATATTTTTCAAGATTGATGGTACAGGTATTTCTCAAAACCACTCTTGGTCTTGTAACCATGATCTTCATTCCCTTGTTATTGACCTTGTTCTCTCTGTTCATCAGATGCTGAGTTTGTTTACTTTGATGTGATTCCAGTTCAACATGGATGATCTGTCTGAGTCCGAGATCGAAGAATCATTGGAAGACATACGCATTGAATGCACGAGGTCTGTAATCACGTATACTGGTTGGCCATGTTCCTTAGAGACTTGTATTAATAACCATAAATATCTGGAAAATGGCATCTTAATTGTGTTTGAGCATATAATTGTACAGGTTTGGCACAGTTAAGTCGGTGAATATCATTCGATTAAGCAAAAGCTCCGAGGAGGCCCCTAACATGACCATTACCACTGGAAACAATGATTCGCCAGGACCCAAACAAGATCCAACTCAGATAATGGAGAAATTGGATTCTGTAAATAGTGATATACTAGGAGCCAAACAAGACTCGCTTCACGAATTGGAGAAATCAGACCCTGTAAATTGTGATATGCAAATGTCTGATCAGGACCCAATTCAAGAAATAGAAATATGGGAGCCTGGTTATTCTGAGAATGTTGAAATTGTTGCTTCCATTGATGAGAAAACTCGGGACCTTGAGATGATTACCGATGATAAAGATGAACACTTATTAAAGAATAAAGAAGATGAATCTGGAACATCAAACTGTGAACAAACGACTCTGGCAGGTGATGATGCTTCAGACCAGCTTCCATGCTCTCTCTCTCTACAATATAACAATGCCCACGAACCTACATTCTCTCTTTCTCAACAAGATAGAGTTAGTGAGGAGTTTCAGAAGAAATGTGAAGCTCCTGGTTCTATGAAGTTGGAAGATTTTGATATGGGCAGTAGTGGTGATGATCAAAAGACCATGATAAACCCAAGTTCTGATTTTGATGCCTTTCAGCCGGGTTGTGTTCTTGTTGAGTACTCTAGGAAAGAGGCTGCTTGCTTGGCTGCTCACTGCTTGCATGGCCGGCTTTATGGTGATCACAGGGTTGCAGTGGAGTATGTGGCTTATGATCTCTATCGAGCCAGGTTCCCGAGATGAGAAAGAAAGCTCATGTGATCTTATTTCTCGAATTTGGGTCTGGGATGAGAGAAAGCTCATACGATATTGTTCTCGAATTTGGTTCTGGGGATGAGAGAGAGGTAAGTGAATCTCTCGAATTTGTAGTGGTTGTACTTTCTGGTTTCGCTTGAATGTCTCAATTCCAGATGAGGGAGAAATCTCTTTTGAGCTGGGTTCCCAGATCGGGAAGTAACTAAAAATTTCTCTAGCGTTTGGAGCCTGTACTGAGTGGTTGGCCTGTAATTGGTTAAAATATGCTCTTCCATTTTAGTTTCGTCAAATCAAGTTTACCTATAAGTTATTGAATATTTAGAAAGAGGAGTTTTGAGGATTTCCTTCCTCTTAGGCCAGATTGGCAGTAGTTGCAGAGGCTTGATCATGACTGGGTTTTCTGAGGTTATATGAAAACCTATTTGCTGATTCTCGTGAATTCTAAGAGGGATTCAAGGACCTCTACGTTATATATTATGGATTTGTAGATATTGCTGTTATAGTTGTTTACCACCTCTTCATTTCTTTTTTTTTTTTTTTTAGAGAAAGGGCGTCAACACGTGCTTGCAAATGATAGTAGGCTCAAGGGTGTTATGCTTTATTGAAGTAGATTCTTGAGGATGAGATTATCTTGGTAAAACAGCAGAGCTACTGGTGAGGATTTTCTCATTCTGAAGTTTTGGGATCCACCAAATGAACCTATTATTATTATTTTTATTTTATTTTGAAGTAGATTCTTGAGGATGAGATTACCTTGGTAAAAGAGCAGAGCTACTGATGAGGATTTTCTCATTCTTAAGTTTTGGGATCCACCAAAGAATGATCCTATTACTATTATTATTATTTTATTTTTTAGAAGTGTTAATGGTGGGAATGGAGCCTAGTACATTGTGTTGAGATACCTATCCGTCTGTTCCAATCTTGGGACTTTTTTCAATGAAGTATGTTTTTTAAATATTTTTTCAAATATTTTTTCCTTTTTTTGGTAGTTAGGTTAAAGATGTTACATCAGAAAAATTTGAGATACAAAAAGAGACCCTTTTGACCTGGCGGAGCAAAGAAATAGTATACTTTGATGGGAGCATAGAATCTTGTGGCTCATCAGCTTACGTTTATCTCGGTGTTTTCTTCAAACTCGGGGTGGTTCGTTCTGTATTTTCTGCGCCTTTTAAGATAGTTTGTGTCCTAGCATCACCATGGAACTGATTGATGGGACGCAAATTCGAGAACCATATAATTACTGTAGCCCAAATACAAAGCGGAAAATTTGGGTATCATATGTTATGAGAGTTTTCGGCCTCTTTTGTGACTTTAGGAAGAATCTGAACCGTCAATCGGTATTTTTGGACTCGGGATTGGAAAAATGATTAGAACAAGGAAAGCCATGCACTATCCAATAAAAAGTAACTTTAAAATATTTAAAGGCATAATTTATATAAGGTTGCAACCTAAAAATGTAGAATTACATAAGCATCTTAAAAATCAATTGGAAAAAAAGGTTGTTTTAATGTTGAAAAACCTTCCAATTGATCATCTTGACAATGAGATATGTGAATATGAAAAAAATAAATTGAGTCTTAAAAATAGTGTATCTTGCAAACATTATTCAGACCGTCTATTTTTTAAATTTTTATATGTTTATGGATCTACTTGGAGCTTAAAATTTTATAATTAGATATGAAAATAGCTTAAAATTTTATAATTAGATATGAAAATAGATTTTCAGATAAAAAATATTTTACGTTAAAAATACATGTTATGATAAAATTTGGAGGTGCACCTTGATTGGATTGTTTAATGTTGCAATCTTATAGAAACCACACCCATAATTAAAATGCGAGCATTTTAAATCGTCAGTGGTTGCTATTCGAAAGTGCCGGTGGGAATGGAAGCTACACCATGGAACATGAGATATTCGAAGGTGGGAAGCTACAACATGGAACCTGAGATAATAAAGTTCATATCCCAACCTGAGATAATAAAGTTCATATCCCTGGAGTTCATATCGCAAACTAGGGAGGTGAGCAAATCGATTGTGGAGAAAACAGAACGTAGTTGTTCGAGAGAGATATTATGACATGCAGGGCAACTCTCGGATTAAAGATAAGTACCTACGTTTTATGAAATGGAAAAAGTTTATATAAGGTTGCAACCTTAAAATATAGAACCATAATGTTGGTTTAATGTTGGAAAAACCCTATAATTGATCATCTCAACATCGAGATGTATGAATATATATAAAAAAAAGAGTTTTTAAGTCTCGGAAATAGTGCAGCTTGCAACACATTATCTAGACCATCAATTTTCAAAATTTTCATATATTTATAAATCTAACTCATTTTAATCTTTTTTTAAATTTAAAAATTTCTAATTAAGTATGAAAATATATTGTAAGATAATACTAAGAATTTTTTACAACAAAATTACATGTTATAATAAAATTTTAAGGTGCGGCTTAATTGGATCGTTTAAGGTTGCAACCTTATAGAAACAAAATCCCATTGTATGGGAAGAATAAAGTATGAATTATTTATTGTAAAATATGTTAAAGTGAGTCCTATAAAAACAAATAAAACCTCACTTCAAAACTCAACAAAAATTGTAGCTTGGCATTAGAAAATCTTCAAATAGATCATCTCGGTCTTTACCATTATGGTTGTGAAAAAATAATAGGATTTCAAGTCATAAAATAATACATATTGTAACACATTATTCAGACCATCCATTTCTGCCCTAAAAGTAAATGTTTTCTAGCATGGGTCATGAACACACACTTTTGGCTAATTTGATTTGATGGAGGGATAAACCTGTGACTCTTTCCATTGTTCAAGCAAGACTGATTGGCTTAGTTCACATATCTACAATATTTATATCATTTTTGGAGTTTTAAACTTTTTGGAAATTGATTTTAGAAACATAATGAAGATTTTCAATATCCAAAGTACTTTCTAGATGAGGATTCGAGGTCGGGATTTACTTTGTATTTTCACATACCTTAGGCCTTATAGAAACTCCATCATATTCTAAAGAAAATGTGGTTTATGCATAAGAGGGACGCATAACTATGTTTGCGTTTCCTAAGGGATCCCACATGAGGAGTTGTATTCTATCCAATGAAAAGACAAAATTAAAGGTTTAGAGTTTTCCTTAGAAAATTATCATTTTTATGGTTTTTGAAATTTATTTATGTTTTGCACATTCATGACATTAGAAATTATATAAACCGAAAAAATTACGTATATATAATTTATGAATATATAATTTACATGTATATACCGAAAATTTGCGAATATATTATTTACGTAATTGTATATAGGTATGAGTCCTAGACTCGTAAAAACCATGTCCAATTTAAAGTAGAATTAAGAAACTGTAACATATCAGTATCATCTTTTTTTTAATTAATTACAGTTCGCTACACGAATCTTAGTCCACTATTTTACTCTATTAAAAGCTATATCCTCAGTGAGGCCATAAGTCCCCATATATTTTTTTATTACTTCCAACCACGTCTTTTTGGCCCTATCTCTTGTCCCTTTCAATCATTTCACTTGAACTAACTTGCACCTCCTAACATGTGCTGCACTTGGTCAGCACCACATATGGCCAACCCATCTAAGTCTACTATCTCTCAGCTTATCGCCTATTAGTGCCACACCTAAATTCTCCCAAATGACTTCATTTTGAATTCTATCATTTTTTGTCTTGCCACTCAAGATTATCTTTACCACTGCACTCATTCTATGGTTATATTACTTTTTGTTCACCCAAAATTCCGCCCTATAGAGCAAAATTGGTTTCACAACTATCTTATAGAACTTGTCCTTCAGTTTCATTGGTATGTGGCGATCGTAAAATTCTAATTACGCATCTCCACTTTGTCCACCTAGCTCTAATTTTGTACGTGACATCTTCCATAGTTTCTCAATTTTTTTGGATTATCAACCCAAGATATCGAAATGGCGGTCTTTTTTTTTACTTCATGTTCGTCAATCTTAAGTACTTCATCGTCTTTGCTCCTATTGTAATTAAACTTGCATTCTATATACCCTGTCTTAGTTCAGTCAATTTTAAAACCTTTAGAATCTAGAGCATCCATCAAAAGTTATAACTTTGAGTTGATGTCGTTTTGGGTATCATCGATCAAAACTATCATCTGCGAACAATATGCACCATAGTACCTCATCATGTAGGTATTAGGAAAATTGTAAAGATACTAGGAAAAAATTATACAAAATTGTAATATTAAATTGTGGAATTAAGGTGCACCTAAAAAATCTATTACAAAAGCTGTTATAATTTTAGAAAACCCTTTAATTGATAATCCTGAAATCAAGATAACATGGAAAAAAAAGAAGAAGAAGATTTCGAGTCCCAAAAATAGTGCACCTTGTAACACCTTATTTCGACTTTCAATTTTCAAGATTTTCACATATTTATAGATCTATTTGATTTCAACTATTTATAAAATTTAAATTTTTATAAATTAAAAATACAAAAAAACATGCCATTTTAAATTTTTTTGACGGCAACATTACTACTTATAATAAATTTTAAAGGTAAGACTGCAACCTTACGCAATCCCCACCCAAAATGTTAGCACCAGTCGTTAAAAGTTCTGGGTACATTTCTCTTAAACTTCTAAGATAGGGACAGTTTCAGTCTTTTACACTTCAATCGCGGCCACAAGTTGGCGGGAACCACGACAGTACGAAACAAAGCGAAAACGCGGTGAAAAGTCCAAAGGTAAAATAACGTGCGCCATTTCCACTCAAAATCCATGCCCTTTTCTTATATTTCCACCCATGTTTCAGGTGGGAATAGCAGTTTCAGGTGGGAATAGCAAAACAGGCGAAAATCGCAGCCATTTGCTCCATTTTTTAAGCCATAGGGGCGAGGAAATATTTATTCTTTCATTTTCTGGTGCTCTCGCAGGAAACCCCGGCTCTTTGCTCGAACCAGTCATGGCTTCTCTCTCTCTAAAGCCTTTATACGCAATCTTCCTGCTCCTAACCCTAACTCTAACCCTAGAATCCATCATTGTTCGAGCTTCGGACTCGTCCTCTCACTACTCGAAGTTCTCAGGCGTGATAATCCCTGGTTTCGCTTCTACTCAGCTTAGGGCTTGGTCGGTACTCGATTGCCCTTACTCTCCTCTCGATTTCAACCCCCTCGATGCTGTATGGCTTGATACCCGGAAGGTGAAGATTTTCTCCATTGGAGAACTTGGGTTTTTTTTCCTTTTTTTTTTGTTTGATCAGTGATTCGGTTGCTAAATTATAATTATTATTTGTGGTGAGTCACGAGTGAATTTTGAAGTTGCATAAGGTTTTCCAGTGAATAATCAGTTTGCTTATTTGGTAATTCTACTTTTGAATGATAGCGAATTTGAATGTTTAATCAGGACGCTGCAGTGAAGACTCGTTTTGAATGATTGATTTACTAATTGATCGCTTATTCAAGTTCTGTCGTGAACGCTGACTAATTTGAATGCTTAATAAGGTTTTGTTTCTCTTGTACGTTGAATTCTTATTTGTTTGTTAGGGAATGATCAGTCATTTTGATGCTTCTAATTGGGTAAATAATCATTCTTTTGAAGTAAATATCCTGTAAGTTTAATGAGAAAAAAGTTTTTACAGGAATGATTAGGCAGTTGAGTGCATGATTATGGTTTTCATAATAGATTGGTTGCAACAACGTTAGAGACTCGGTGGGGCCTCGTAGTCAGCCCTTTCCCAATTCAAGTAACACGGCCAGAGTCCACTCGAGTAATGAACAGGGCCCAAAAAGCCGTAATAAACAAAAACATGCTAAAAATATAATTTTATCTTTAAAAGTGAAACAAAACTACCAACTAACATAATAAATTCAAATAAGCTGAAAACAAATTATAAAACATGGATCTATAAAAAAATGATTTATGGTTGGATATTTGTCAAGAATATCCAAAAAAGGGAAAATACATAAATATGGCATTTGACAATAAGAACTCATAAATCATTGTAAAACACATCCAATTTGCGTGTATAATTTTCATAAATTGATCCTACAAGTTTATACGATTATTATTATTATTAATTTTTTTTTTTATAGACCCAAGTTGTACTCGGCTAATTGGTTCTGCTAGGGATTGAGTCCGAGCAACTTGGCCGAGTAGTTAAATGCTGTGCTGCAAATTATAACTCTTAATGTTCTGTATGTTTAGGGGATTTTGTGGAAGACATTAGTCATTTGAGTGTGATTATGTTCTTCATAATGAATAGGCTGCAACTAGAACTCTTAATTAGGTGTCTTTAGAGCATTCATTTATATTGATGCTTAATTATTCAATTTGAAATCGTGAGTTTTCTTTATAGTGAATGGTGATAATTTAAGTGCTTAGTTTTGTTGTGTTGTAGGTAATGATGAGTATTTTGAATTGCTTAATAAATGGTCTCTTGTGAATAAGCTCCAATTCGCATGCTTTTTAAGGATTTTTTTTAGTGAATTATCGGTAATCTAAATGCGCTTTGAAGTGAATAGCGAATACTTTGTATAGAATCAAGGTTTATAAAATAGGGAAAATTACAATTTTAATGGGAACACCCCATGCCTACTATATTATTGAACTTGTAACACTATATCACCAGTTATTGCTTTTTATTGAATTGCCCTTTAGATTTATGTAATGAATTTGACCTAACTAGTTGGCAATATGAATGTGATCCAGGTTATGTAGTGTGTAGTTTTTCCACTTGTTGACTGGAGTGATTAGTTTATTGAGTTAGGGTAGAACAGCATTTTCATTCACCTTCATTGTTTTTATTGACCATTGAGGAGCAGGGGGGGTTTACTTGATTACCCATTTAATTAGGCTTCATCATTTTTATTGACCATTAAGGGGCAGAGGTGGTTTAATTGATTGCCCAAATACATAATATCTAGCAGATGTTCTGGATAATGGTTTGGATGGTGAATATGAGATTACTTTTCTATGTTGTAATATGGGCATGGAGAAGTTGTGCCACATGTTTATCTTGTTTGAAATTCATATGATTTATTTGGAAGTTACATAACTTATGAGTTTGTACTGCACGATGTCTTAATCTGTCAATGTATTGCACTGGTTTTCTTTGACAAATTGGGCAGTTAAGCCCCTGAGATTTGTTTTACACAGCCTGCAGGGTTCATGATGCTAATTTGATGAGCTTATCTGAAAGGGTTCTTTCAATTTGTGGCTTTTGGTTACTTATACTTAAGTTGGACTTGCACAAGATCATATCAAACAATTGAATGAACCCTCAAACTGATATTTCTGATCTCATGATTTGTGCAGGTTCTATCTGCTGTGAATTGTTGGCTCAAATGCATGCTACTAGACCCTTATAATCAAACAGACCATCCTGAGTGCAAATCACGACCTGACAGTGGACTTTCTGCAATTACAGAGTTGGATCCAGGTTATATAACAGGTTGGTTTTGTTAATTAAGTAATATTATTTATTTATGGTTGAGTTTTTATGTCACCATAGTCTTTTTTTGAAAGTTATCGGTTCTTCAGTAGCAATGCTTTGTGGTCTTCTAATGCATCAACCCTGAAAAAATGGTTTTATTTGAAGAAATTATTTCCACTATGAAAGTGCGTTCTTATGTTTATATGTGATCCATAGTGAGCTGAGGCCCTTGCAAGTGATCTCTCTCTCTCTCTCTCAACTATTTGCCCTTGCAATATCATGAAAAAATAATTTATTTTTTGGTTCTTTACAATATAATGCGAGCTAGGTGCTTGATTCGTCCGGGCAAACTTGATGCTGGCAGCTGTGAAGTTATGTTGTCTGTTATCTTACTAACCAATTTGTTAGTATTAAATATAACATCATTTGTGTTTTTGATGCTTATATGTAGAAAATTTGGACGAAAATATATTGAGTATTGTTAGTATTAAATATAACATTTATTTTTGATAGATACTTGCTAGTCTATTGGCTTTGGAATTCATACATTTTGATAACTTTTCCAGGTCCTCTTTCTTCTGTCTGGAAGGACTGGGTCCGATGGTGCATTGAGTTTGGAATTGAGGCAAATGCAATCATGGCGGTTCCTTATGACTGGAGACTATCGGCATCAATGCTTGAGGAGCGAGACCTTTACTTTCATAAGCTAAAGTATGTCTATCTTGTATGGAGTTTGCTTATAATATTTGTATTAATCTTCACCAAGCACAAGATTGGCACATCAATTTATGACTTTTATTTACTTTCATTATCAATATTGACAAAAGAATTTGTTTTCCTTGTCAAATATGCTGGTATCATACTGGCCATTCTACTGTCAAAACTAAGCCCAAGATGCTGATCTTATAGGCTTTTGGAGTTGCATATTCTTTTGGTTAAGTGATAAAGCATTCATTGAATATGATAAATGGACATTACATCTATGCCAGCATTTTAAGGAAAAGGCCTTACCTTATCTGAATTATATTTGTCCCATCTTTGAAAGGTTTAAAACTTCATAAGAGTCAACTCTACCCTCACTAGAGTTGACCCAACAAGTTTTATAGAACACCATAGTCGTACAATTTCTCTTAATTTTTAAAGAGACTCCACCGAGTCAACTTGATAAGTCCCTGCTCTAGGCCAGGCCAGATCCCAAGCTGAGTATGAGCTTAAAACCATTGGTCTTAGTTCAGTATTTTGCCTTTTTGCACTATAGCAAGTGATGATTGTAGCCTTATGTCCCAGAATGAAATAAATCAAAAAGTTTGAGGATCTAGATCTCTAGGAGAGAAGGCTTGTTGACAGAAGGCACTTTGAGATAATAAAACAAAAGAGGAGAGAAGGCATGTTGAGAGCAAGAGAAGGAGACGACAAGGAGAGAGGGAAAGGTGACCACATTGGGGGCCAAAAGATTGGCCTAGGGTTTGTTTTTTATATAATATACAGTTAAGAATTTACAAAGAAGAACTTTGCCCCACAAAAATTACGAAAGGACTAATCAGTTCTAATATATGACAACACATTACTAGAGAAAGAGAAAAATCCGCCATTTGCCCTTATATAGAGTAAGTGCGCACTGCCCCTCAAGTTGGTGCATGAGTGTCATGCATGCCCAACTTGCTTATAATGGCATGAAGGCGGTCTCGACCCATCGGCTTGGTAAAAACATTGGCTACTTGCCTACTTGATCTTCAGTCCTGATTTGTGGAATGGATATAACTTTGGCTGCCACTTTTCCCTGGTAAAATGATAATCAGCAGCCATGTGTTTTGTCCTTTCACGGAAGAAGGGATTAGTGGCAAGGGAGATCACAATTTGGTTGTCAATTGCATGTGTATGGGCAATGCGATGTGCACTTCGATATCACTTAGGAGGCGCTTGTAGCCATACTAGTTTACGTACAGTTGACACCATGGCTCGATGTTCTGCTTCTGCACTGCACTGTGCTGGTAAACTCATGTTTTTGCTTCTCCAAGTAACCATGGTGCAATATCTAGTAGTCTATTGGCGATCAACTGGACCACTGGCCCACGCACTATCTGTATAGAATAAATCATGAATTACGTTTGAATAGAAGCCTCTTACCAGGAGTACCATTGAAATTTCTCAAACAATGTGTGATTTCCTCTAAATGTGAAGTGGCATCTGCATAAACTGGTTGACTCTGTTTATTGCATGGGTGATACCAGGACGTGTAATAGTTAGATAAATGAGGTGGCCAACCAGCATCTGGTACATCCAAACTTACCAAGGGCCTTGCATCAATCTTGATATTAGCGTCAAGTGGACAGTGAAGAGGTTTAACAACTATTTTGCCAGTTTCATGTAAGCCATCAACGGTATACTTTTGCGACGAAATAACTATTCCTTGCTTGGAGGTTGCAACTTTTTTTTTTTTGAGAATTGGTTAACTAAAAGAGGTTGCGACTTCTATACCCAAAAAGTACTAAAGGGGCACCAAGTCCTTGGATCTAGTTGTTGGTGAGTATGTCTTGAGAAAGGATATGCTGTCAACATCATCCCCTAGTACCACAATTGCATCAACATAGAAAAGAAGTCTAGCACCTTGTGGTCTCCTTTTCACAAAGTGTGAATAATCAGAATTGGTCTTGTGGAGTCCCATGGCAGCCATGACCTTACTGAATCTGTCAAGCTACACTTGCGGTGAAACTATTTAAGGCCACAAAGAGCCTTTCTTAGCCTAAGGACCATCTGGGAGGTCTCGGGAGAGCCTGGCAATGGCGCACTTGTCTTATATACTTCCTCTTCTAATTCTCTAGGAAGGAAAGTGTTTTTGACATCCAGTTGGAAGAGACCGCCCTCTGTGGGCAGCAAAAGATTGCAAAACGACACGAATGGTTTTCCATCTTGGCAACTGTTACAAAAGTCTCTTGCTAGTCAATACCACACTTCTAGCTGAAGGTTTTGGCATTTGGCTACTAGTTGATCCTTGTACCATTCAATGCTTCCATTTGGCTTAAAATTAAGCTAGAAAACCCATCAACTCTCTATCACTGTCTTTTTAGGAGAGAGATCTACTATATCCCAGGTATCATTTATTGCATAAGCTTGACGTTCTTCTCATAATTGTTTCTTTATTGTATTTCTGCCAACAATGTAGCTGTTTATACAAAATTTGCAGTCCACCATAGTCTTGTCATTTTGAACGGGTCGTGATCCATATTTCTAGCCCATATCAACTTTTTTATTTGAACTAATAGAAGACATTGTTAACTTCTCAATAAAGAACCATCTCGACCTGAAAAATATACGAAACCATCAAAACCCAATCTTTAATTCATATACTTTAAGTCTAGGATGCAACAAATTAAATTAAAGTATTGAAAGCAGCCCAAGCTAATAAATTCAGAGTAATTTACAAAATAAAAACTAGATAAATTCATAAAAAAACAATTACCCAAATTTTGAATATGAGTCACTAAACACCAACCAATTTGACTGAATGGCAATAAGAAATATTTGTTAGTTTAGAAATCTAAAGTATTGATGCAGTAATTCAAGTTACTATAAGCTACAAATATCAAGTATTTAGTTTAGGATAGAACAAATTAAACTCGAGTATTGAATGAAGTAACCGAACCCCAAAAAATATTTAAACAATTGCGGAATTTACTATAAAAAATACAAGTAAAAAATCCAATTAACCTAATATGCAAAAAAGACACTAATGCCGCATCAAATTTTAAAAAGAAATCACCCAAAAAATTGAAAATGGGCACAAAGTAGAAAAGAATCACTTTATGTGCCTTTCCAATCTTTGAACAATTTGACTAATAAAGCATAGAAAAAAGGGTGTTGTTTTTATAAGGTATCAACCTTAAACAAAGGAAGGCACATCTCTAAATCTTGCTAAAAGATGCAGTTTAGGTCCCGAAACACTTATGATGGTTTACGAATCTATTTAACCAGTGGTTTAAAAATTGTCGATTCAGAACAAATCGGTTGATTCGACCCGGGAATTGGTCATCCCGTGCCAATTATCGCTTATAACCGGAAATCGAGTGTGTTTAGAGGTGAATCGGCGATTTGTAGCGATAACTCGGCGAGTTGCTACAGTCACACGGGCGATTCAACCGGGAAGGGTAAGCTTTGGAATTTTTTAAAAGTTGGGGGCATATTTGTTGCCCGTACGTCACGGGGTTCATAACACGTCACTCGCAGGATCTCAACATGAGGTACACACGTCATACACCTGCTAACGCACGCACATTAACAAGCAGCCACCACAAACAATTTATACCAATCAAATCTTCTCTAAAACTTCAATGTGGGATAATTCCCATGAGGTTACATCGTTAGTAACCTTTTGGGCATCAAACCATCATTTTTTCCGTGGCATCCCAACAAACTGCTTCATACCACAAACCAAAGAAAAAGAAAGTTACAAGGGCCTGGGAACCTCCCCCCAAAGGAGCAATCAAATTGAATTTTGATGGTTGCTCCTTGGGAAACCCAGGACATGAAGGAGCAGGAGGGGTCTTCAGAGATCACCTTCACAATGTACTATTTACCTTCTCTGAATATCTCGTCATCCAAGATTCACAATATGTTGAATCAATGGCTCTCCTCAGAGGCATACAAAATTTTGACCGATCTTGGGGACAATTACTATTAGTGGAGGGAGACGCTAGAAACATTATCTCTTGGGCTTCTAGGATAGCTACCCCCCTTGGTATCGTGGGTCTATTTGTGATGAGATTCAACATCTTTGCAGGGATACGCCCGTCTTATGGACGCATATCTCGCGGACGTCGAACGGATTCACGGACCTGCTGGCCAAGGACGGAGCCAAGGCCCATGTTGAACATTAGACCATACCACAGTTGGATTCGGGTCGGCTACAGAACATGCTCACCTTTCTTGGCTTGGGATCTTTTGTGATCTACTCTCCTACTATCTTTGTACAGTTCCCTAATACTGTGTAAGGGATAATTTTATGACCCCATTTCTCTCTCTACTATCTTTTTACTTTTCCTGTATACTGTGTAAGGGGATTATTTTATAACCCTATTTTGTATCGGGTCGGATGACCTATTCTTTTTACCAGGGGTTCCGTGTACTTAAGGTACTCCTGGATTTTCCTTTACTATTTTGTATCTCTCTTTTATCGATACAAAAGTTAACAGTTATAAAAAAAAAAAAAAAACTGTGTGCGTGCGAATTGCTCTCTCCCTCTCTCTGATATGTATAATGGTGTATATGTATAGAGTAAATTACATACTTTATAAATAGCTCTCTCTCTCTCTGATATGTATAATGGTGTATATGTATAGAGTAAATTACATACTTTATAAATAGCTCTCTCTCTCTTTCTCTCTCTCTCATATGTATAATATATAAAGTAAATTACTTACTTTATATATATAAAATAAATTACATACTATAAAGTACATTACATACTTTATAAATAGCTCTCTCTCTCATATATATAATGGTGTATAAATTAAATATTTTATAAATAGATCTCTCTCTTATACGATGACATCTATCAAATGAAATAGTCTTCTTTTTATATTTATTTATTTTTAAGATTTAATCCTTTTTAAGATTAATTATATATTTATTTCTTTTTTATGATATACAAATATAAAATACATATAATCTTTAATTACATATAATTACAAAAATAAAATTCTATATAATAATTTACAAAAATTAACATAATTATATGAAATTGTTGTTTTTTTATGTTAATAACTTAAATATAATTATGTTAAATTTATGGCAATATAATTATTTTTATATACACTAAATTATTTTTAAATTATATGGAACTGTTTTCATATATTTTTAAGACTCTATTAGGCTATTCTCTCACGGGATTATTTTATTATGTGATTAATAATTAATTAAGTAGTTAATTGAGATTAAAAATTAGTACTAGTTCATAGGATATTAAAAAACAAAAAATGATACTAATTCTAGTTTATTGAATATTAAAAAACATTAGTTTAGAGGATGTTTTAAGAGAGAAAAATAACACTAACTCATACCACTTTAGAATTTATTTCTACATTGATAACCAAATCTTTTCTTTTATTTATTTTAATTTATTTGCATTATAAATTATATGATTTACTATTTTTTCTTACAGTTGTCAATAATACATTTTTAAAATAGATGATATTATAAGATATTTTGGATTTGTTATTATTTGTATAATAAAATAACTATAAAATGTAAACCAACAATGTCAATTTCAGTGTATAATATTATAGTTAGTTAGGTTGTAATAATTTTGGATTATAATTAGTTAGGTTGTAATAATTTGGGGTTTTTTAGCAGAATAGGGTTTTCTGCCAATTCGAGATTTTGGTGGTCATTTTTTCATCGATTTAATCCATTCTTTATTGTAGTCCATGCATGATTTATATTTCTTCCATGATAATTCTATGATTTTTTGTTGTATGATGTAAATTTAATGGTTAACATAAATTCATACAGGGAAAAAGCATCTCAATATTCACATAGTGACAAAAAAAATGAAAGTTAATAATGTAGTATCCCCATTTATTATTGGATTCCTAAAAGACAATATTTATAATGAATTTTAGTAATTGTTTTGGATTTTTTTAAGGCTTAATCCCACCAGTTGGGCCGATTCCCGATCCAGATCGCCGATTCACTGATCTCGATGGGTTTTTGGGCTGCCCGATCTGGGGCACCGATCTGTTTTTTAATCCACTGATTTTAACACTTAGTTGAAAGATTTAAAGCTCTAAAAATGGTGTAGATCAAGCAGATCTATAATGCTAAATTTTTTTGAGAATGGATGGTGTAGATAATTAGTTACAAGATGCACTATTTTTATGACTTAAAATCCTATTTTTTTTCATAGACATTATTCTCAATGTTTAGATAATCAATTATAAGGCTTTTCAAAGTCAAAACAACATTTTTGGGTGGGTTTTTGAGGATTGACTTGCCCTTTATTTCTATAATATAAGGTTGACACCTTATATAAACTTTTTTGTTAAATCCAAAGATACTCAAATTTATTGACATTTTATTAAGAATGGGTGACCCAATCTTAATAAAATGTCAATAAAATCAAATGAAAGGTCCGAAACCCAATCTTGAATAGGGGCCAAATTTCCAAAGCTAAATTTTGAGGGAAAAATACAAAAACATAAACCAAAACAGAAAAAATCATACCGAAGATTCACAAATAGCACCAAACTTTAGGCCAAAAATGGGAAATTGAAGTTGGCTCGAAACGGTGACCTTTGGTTTCCAAAAGACTTCTTTCGCAACCAGTTCAAGTCTAATAAACTATGGGATTAATTACTTTTCGATTTCAAAAGAAATAAAAAAGTTTGGAATTTCTTTCAATCTTCGAAAGAAATATCAATTACTTACCATTTGGTCTTCTCTTTCTCTCTAAGAAACAACTTAAGCAGTTTTTGATGGGATAGAATGCCCCACAAAACCCTTTCCCCCCTTTCAGTGGGAAAAGTGAGACATTTTTGCCCTTGCGTGAAGGTTTGTTTTCCACCTCCTGGCTTCAGTGTTGAGGCGCATAGGCAAAGGCGCAGGCGGGCACCCGAGCAGGTGCGCTTAACCTGGCTGAATTAGGTCCCCTCCTAGGTCAGTGTGCTTCGATGTAGTCGGTGATTCGCGAGAATTTTTTAAAATGGTTTTCCTACAATATTTGCTTTGGATGGGCCCTTTGTATTGGGTAATAATAGTTGTCTTGAATTTTCCTAAGTTGCCTGTGTTCAACTAAATACACCTTTCCTTAATTTGTATAAACTGCAAGATTTGGTATTGTTTATGTTGTGTATTTAGTATCCATTTGCTTGGATCATTTACTACTAGGCAGCAAAAACTTTGTTTTCCAGTTGTTGAATGCCTGTGCTGCATTTATTGGAAAAATTCGTTGGGTTCCCTATCTCCACTCTTTGATTAGAATGTTTGCTTAGTATTTCTCTGGTGTATAAGATTTAATTACAATGATGCTTTAGTTTTGTAGGAACTTTATTTTGAGTTATCATCCTGTGTTGCATTCAAAGTTTTTAAATGCAACAAATAAATGTTAAAGGATTTTCAAATGTGGATTGCATCTTTGCAGGTTAACTTTTGAGACTGCCCTCAAACTCCGTGGTGGTCCATCTTTGGTGTTTGCTCATTCGATGGGTAACAATGTCTTCCATTATTTTTTAGAGTGGCTGAAGTTGGAAATTGCACCCAAAATGTATAACAAATGGCTTGACGATCACATACATGCTTATTTTGCCGTTGGTATGCTAGCCAGCCTTCTATATGAAATCCCTTACCTTTGTCACCATAAATTAAGTAACTGCTACATTTTTCTGAACCTAATGACTTTCGGGATGTTTTTTAGGTGCTCCACTTCTTGGTGCACCAGAGTCTGTCAAAGCAGTACTTTCTGGAGTTACTTATGGCCTTCCAATTGCTGAGGTGATATACACACGCTCTTGATGCAGTTAATAGGTGTTCAAAACTTTATTATTTTGTTTTTTTTGTATGAGGGACTTCACTGCATTTTTGATATAGTTTAGCCATGTAGTCCTCATAAGATCATCAATAGCGGCTGTATTATATCTGCTATTCCTCTTAAGATCGTCAACATTGGCTGTATTATATCTCCTCAAAATCGTGCGTCTTGTTAAGACTGGTCAGTGATTGACTGCCTGAATGTTGCACACTAGCCACCTTGATTTGGACTGCCTACACTGTTGGGAAGTCTTGAATCCAAAGTAACCTTACATGGAAGTTACTAGGTTTCGTATTTTGTACGGACTTGATTTCCTGTCTTGTAGGTCATGGTTGCCTATTTTGTGGGTAGGGGTCATGGGAATCCTTATATTAGAGAGTCAATATCTTCCTAGTAACAAACTTACCGAAAGGATATGAAGCTAATGGGATTGTGTTTTTATTTTGATAGAGAAGATAAAGAGGACCTACAAGTGATTAATTTTGGGGGTTTTCTTTCTTTATCTATGAATTGGTGTTGTGTAGAGAAGATTAAGGGTGTAGAGAAGATTAAGTGTGTAGAGACTCCTTAGGGTAATGAGTAGGGAAACATTGGGAGATGAGAGACAAAGTGTTGAGAGAGGCTAATTGAGAGATTGAGTTGGTGTTTCTGATTCTCTCAAGTAAGAGCAATCTTGTACCCCTTTATCGTTGCATGGTGAAAACAATTTATCATCTTCATCAGTGGATGTAATCACATCTATGATGAACCACGTAAATTCTTTGTGTTCTTTCTTTCTTGCTTGCTTTGCAATTTTTTCTTGTGCTTATTGCTTGCTTGTGACTGTTTTACCTTTCTCTCTCTTTGCAAAAATCGACTCATCAGGTTTTAGAGCTTTTATGTGTAACATACCCAGCCTTTGCTTTTTTTTTTGGGTAGTTCAGTGAGGATACAGGCCCGTACCCGTTTTTGAAATTGTTAGTGGTTTTGGAAGGTATTAGGGGAGAATAGAAGCGTATGATCTTATTTGGGGTTCATGTGGTGCTACGACCACGACTCCAGCCCCATTCTCAACATACCTAGCCTTGAAGTAGTTGAAGGGTGATGAATCCTCACAGTAGGGGGATCATGTTTCTAAGCCCGTAGCTTGTTTATACTTACTGTCACTGTTGGATGTCCCATATTACAATTGTGGTTATCCAACCTGACTTCATGTTAGGGTTATAAATTTCCAGAGAAAACGGAGGTGGCCAGTTTGTAAACTGTTGAAACTTTCTTTAAATCGTAAAAGAAAGAACTATCATAGAAAGATTCTTTCATTTGTAATATCTTCTTATGTTAACTCAAGCAATAGACTTGTTGTTTTTCTGAAGTATTCCTGGTTTAAATTTTCTGTTTTAATTTTTTTTGGTTCCTATACGTATTTCTTCTTATTCAAACTTTATTAACATTTTCATCGAGTTAGATGAGGTTAAATTAACCGGAAATCAGAATTTTGGACTTGTAATCTTTTGACTTTGACCTTCGGTCAAGTTCTAGAAATAGTATTATTATATTCTTTGAGAAATATGTATTTCTATCTTCAGAACCATGGCTTATTTCCTTTTTTTCTGAAAACTATTTGTGGAGTGGTTGAATAGATTGCTATTCTCTGGTTCTAAAACATTTGTTGTACGTATTCTTATCGTCTATTACTCAAGGAAATTGGTAACGGGAAACAGCATCGTGCCCCTACGATAGGCAAGTCTAATTTGTGATAAAATTGTTCATGGCTGCCAGTTTGTTTAGTAGCTCTGGTTAGTGGTGTTTTCTTTTCTTGTATAATTTGCTACTCTCTGGTCCTGATCCATTTGTTGCCACATATTCTTATCGTCTATTACTTGAGGAAAGGGTAATAGGAAAAAGTATGGTGCTCTGATGAGAGGCAAGTCTAATTTGTGATAAATTCTTTTCTGGATGGCAGTATATTTAGTAATTTTGGTTAGTGGTGCTTTATTTTCTTGCTTATTTTGCTACTTTCTGGTTGTATCCATTTGTTGAACATATTCTTATCAGCTATTGCTTGAGGAAATAGGTAATAGGAAACAGTATGTTGCAGCAGGCAAGTCTAATTTGTAACAAAATTATTTGTGGGTGTCACTATATTTAGTAGTTTTGGTTTTTGGTGTTTTCTTGTATTCATTGTTAAGTTATTTCCCTTTTCTCAAGTACCTCACATTTTGTACCGCATATTTTTTGTTATTTTATTCTGTGTTTGTTGGTTTTTATTTCCTAGTTATATTTATATCCTGTTGTACTTGTTTCAAGTCATTTATTCTAACATATTTTTGTTATTTTCTTTTCAAGTTAACAGGGAACAGCTCGTTTGATGTACAATTCGTTTGGTTCGTCTTTGTGGTTACTGCCATTCTCAGAACATTGTAGGGCAGATAATTCGCACTGGAGACACTTATTTGATGGGAAAGTAAGAGGAAATAACACAAGCCATTGTGCTGATGTGGAATTTCAGCTGAATTTTTCTGGATGGCCAGCAGACATTATCAATATTGAAGTTCCTTCTAAGATGGGTGCGCTTGTATTTCTTATTCTATCTCCGTAGCCATGCAGTTATTATTTTGAGTGCTCCATATATGAAATTTTTGTGGTGTTGATCATGGCAGGCAACAGTAGTGCCTATCCATCTTTTGCAGAAGAAGCAAATGCTGTAACATCAGAAATGGAATGTGGAATGCCTGTTCAGTTATCTTTTTCAGCTAGAGAGTTGTCAGATGGAACCTTTTTCAAAGCAATAGAGGACTATGACCCGGATAGCGAGAGGCTTCTGTACCAACTCCAGAAGTGAGTGTCCCTATGTTTTTTAGATTAGTCACACCACTTCTTTTTTAAATGAGTGGAATTTGTATTTGGTAATCTTGGCGATCCTCACAGCAAGGCAGCATATCAATTTTTAAGGCATTAGTCACATTGATTAGGTTTCTATTTTAAGAGATAAAATAACTGAGTTATTTTACTTTTTTCCTAAGTTACAAATTTAAAAATCGGTAAATATGCCTCAAATTGGACTTAGTTGATGAGATCGTTTCAGCTAAACAAGCAAGGCAAACTTTTTTCATCTGAAGTTGGAGCAATTTGAATTGCATGTGATGGTGTTTCATTTTCCGGGAAGAGGCTGAGACAAAGTGAACTTGAAAACACTTGTCTATGATTTAGTGTATGAATTGTCTTTTTATTACTATAGATATTTGTTCGTGGTGCTTCCTTTTTTTGAACCTTTTTATGTATTTACTTAATCTCTGTTATAGCCGCATACATAATATGTTATGTACTTAACAGTTGTGCATTCTAGAATATGCAACAGTTTTGAGGAAAAATAAAATTGTTTTGATGAGTTTGAGACAGATATGGTTATTTATGTGAGGAATAAAAAAAATGACATAAAGCAGGCAGAGTCAAATGCTTTCTTGTTCTCATTTGCTTCCTTTTTTTTTTTATTAACAGTTGGAATGGAGGGCGGGACTCTTATTCTTATTTGCTCTTTGAGCATTTTTTCTTACACATCCTTGATTCAAGTATCTTTAGAAGCTTGATGTTTTGGGAATCTGAGAATTCTTATTGAAACGATTTTGGGTCTTTATGGTTTAACTTTCAGGTTGTATCATGATGATCCGGTGCTTAATCCTTTAACACCTTGGGATAGACCACCATTAAAGAACATTTTCTGTATATATGGTGTAGACATGAAAACTGAGGTATTGTGCATATTCCAAATTCTATGTTTTATCATATTCTAATTACCTCTTAGTCTTAGGCTATATACATGGAATTGGGATACATCCACTTTCTTTTTTCTTATCAGATATCTTGTTGTTCATGCCGTTATGTAATTTTGGATTAGTGCTTTCATGGTTTAGGGGGAAACTTATTCCTTCCGTAGAAATAGTAAAGTTCATATGGCAGTCAAATCTGCAGTAAAATGTTCGAGAGCCCTAATAAAATGCTGATAACCGGAAGAGCACTCAAAAGTTGATATTTAACCTACATTCACCATCAATGGTTTGAGTTTGAGCAGTTATAATGTCTAGCTTTTAGACAACAGTTCAAAATCCAACCAAAATAGAACTGAAATGTGGATGAATCTATGAAAAATAAAGGTATTGGTAAATTCTTGTCTGAATGTCAGACAGAGTCTTGATCTGAAAATGGTAGAAATACTCTGGCCCAATGAAAGCAAAGCAGATGAGTGAAGATGGTACTGCAGGTGAAGGCAAGTAGTTGCTTGAAATATAAACTCCGGCTGGGTTGGCACAGAACCATGTCAAGTGGAGTAGATGAAGAGTTTTATTGATGACTATGGGAGTTCCAGTGTTCGATTTGCTGGTGGGGTGGCAATGTATGACTCTATATGGTCATCCTCTCATCAAGTACATTCTGAGAATATACAGGTCTATTAGTTTTTGAGCATGCTTCTGATTATCACCATTTTATTAGGAGTTATTTTTAACATCATTTTATTCTGTGTCTGGAGTTGCTTATGTATAATTTTGAACTTGTTTCTTCTACCATACATTTGAAGTAATTTTATCAAATATGACTGTAGGATAAATTTTGGGATATCAATTGATACATCAAATTTATTGTCCTTTCCTAAGTCATATTGTGTTTAAAAGGTCATAGTCATAAGAAAAGTGGAGCAAATATTCAGGTTGTGGTCATTGCATATCATACTTAGACTGAGGTATCTGAGGTAACGGTTTAATTTTGGCGTTAACCACATTTTGATGGTGGAATCTATTGTGGTTCATTAGTATTGGAGCCCCCAAAATGAAATGGCTTTATGTGTACTTTGGTCATTGATGAAATATTTGGCTTCCCCACCCCCTTTCTTTCTATACCATAATGTAGTTTGTTTTGTTGGTAATGGGGTTATTTAATGCTTGCGTATGGCATTATTCTAAGTTTTCTAATCAATGAATTTTTCTTAGTGAGAGATGTATTTTGGTTGTTCATGCTTTATTCATGTTATGGATTATATCAGATCACTTTAAATTTTTCTTTCCAGTTTACTATTTGTGCTGAATATGATGGTGATTGTGAATCAATAGAATATGCTTGGTAATGTAGGTTGGGTACCATTTTGCTCCAAGTGGGAAGCCATATCCTGATAACTGGATCGTAACTGATGTTATATATGAATTTGAACAAGCACTAAACTCAAGGCAAGTAGCCTTAAAGTTCTGTTGGTAATAGCTTTATCATTTGAATTTTTTCTGAGATGCATTATTCAATGTCATTCCAATCTTATAATACAGGTATTTTGTATTATTTCTCATGACCATGCTTTTCTTCTTGTACAGGATTGGTTGCTTTCTTGATTTATTTATTTGTTTCTTCAACGTAACCAGAAACACTCTGTGGATTTGGGTTTCTCTGGACAACATAAGAAATGCACTTTTTATAAATTCAAGAAATAAATTATGGCTCCTCTAGCCTTTATGTTGTGTTTTTTTTTTGTTTTTTGTTTTTGTCAGTTGCATTCTATTAGTTGGAGATAAGGTTTAGATGTTTAGAATTGTTAGAATGGTGTTAAGCCTTTTTCAACTACGTAGGGTTAGCTCTCACCTCAACCCTAGTTCCTCAATGGGAGATAAGAAAGTGGCGGGCTTATAAAACACCTTTTCCCCCATCTGCAGATTGTCCTTACCTTCTATTGTCATTCTTCTGATATGTTGTGCTAAATATTTCCTTTCCTTTCTTTAAGTTCTATGAAATCTCTGTTCTATGAAATCTCTCTCTCAGTTGTCTTTCTACTAATTTTCTATCTCTCTATCTTACTCTTTGTCTTTGTTTCTCTCTTTTCCATCTCTTTATTTTTTGGGAAAATTTCGTATAGAACCCTAATTCCTCGTATTATTTCATGGTAGACCTTCCTTCCGTTTTTCTTTCAAGCGGCATAAGAAAACCCTTAAAGATTTCACCATGCCCCCTCATCTCTTAACTTCCTCTTTTATTGACTTTTGATCATAAAAATTAGCTTCAACAAATCTTTTTATACCATTTCAACCCAAAATTTTTTTTAGTATGGGTGGAAAGAGAAAAAGAGGGTTAAAAACGTTTTTAGGGATGAAATGGTATAAAAAGATTTGTTGGGGTCTAATATTTATGGT